CCTCATCAACATGAGTGGAGGACTTGCGTTTATTTGGCGTAGATGTTGAAGCTGCTTGTCCTATCAAAGGCATCTCCAACTTTATTGCTTGTCGAACAACTGGTGAAGCTATATCCGGTATAGAAAGTTGTGCCTCGACATTGCGCTGAGATGTGTCCGCAGCGGACTGAGGCGTATTTGAATTGCTTTTGGCTGCAGACGGCGAAGCAGTCTGCTTTTGGGACTGGGGATTTTTCTTGCGGCACAGAATACCGGTAAAGTAATCTTCGTGAAAGAAATCTGTTTTTAGAAAACGGTCTAGAAATCGGCAGTTATTATATACGGCCAGCAGATCTTTGAGAACATCCGCCTTTCGCTGCTCTGGCAGCACGTGAAAGATTTTTTCCAGGCGCTGAATGGCTTCTTTGGCACGATCGATTCCTGATATTATGTGATCCTCTACATCCATCGATGCGATGCTAGCGCTTATGTTCATTGTTTGGCTATTCTCCGACTGTGTTTCCCAAGAATTCTCCGAATCATCAGACTCGTACGCATCTTGCGTATCGCTCTGATGGATCTCAAAAAGATCCTGCGGATAGCACATGGTGATATGGCCCTTGGCCCACCAAACACGCACACGGCCATCGGGAAAGTTGTCAATTACTTGGCCAGCTGTAGAATTAAGATCCTCTCCCGTGAAATTAGACACTCGAATGACCATGGTGCCTGGTCTGTACTGATAGTCCGCATGATCTTTCAAATCGTAAACACTAAGCTCCTCCACATCCTTGCATGATGGACTGAAAAAATGGATGTGCGCTGACTGATGAGTAGTTCATTTTTTCGATGTCATTTACTTACACTGGATTATCCATATTGCCATAGATGTTGAACCACTTAACTTTAGCTATGCGTTCATCATGATCCACCGACTGTATGACCCCGTAATCTATCTGTGAGGTACTGTAATCGTTAGCCTTGCTAACAAAATCTCCTGGAAAGAACTCATGATTGTCCAAATGGTGTATCGGATATAGATCGGTTGAAGGTATGCCTGATTCCACAGATCCATCCTGCCACACAACCGTTAACGAACTATACACAACCAAAGTTTCTACAACCATATCATCGCCATCTTTGGGATCGCTTTCCTTTCTTGGCATTGATGTTTTTTTGCTGGGTCGTGGTTTTTTCTTGCTTGATCTACGTTTGAAATTCCGTGTAACAATACGGGCTGCTTGCGAGGCAAAAGAGTTTAAGGAATTCGTGCCACCTTCAGTCTCGGGAGTATTGGCTGTCGCTTCAATTGTTTCTATTACGTCCTGAGTTTCCTGTAGTGGCTCTTCATCGCCCTCATCATCCGCAGTGTCCCAGGTCTCATCATTGTTTGCCCGTGTCTTTTTACCAGTTGAGTGAGTTGAAGCGGACGTCTTAATTGGCATATTACTTGCATCGTTATTTTCGGCCAGAGAGCGATTCAGTCGCTGATTGCTAGGTTTACCTGTGACACGCCGCACTTTGAACATGTGAGCACTGCGAGAGCTGGATGGCGCCGACGGCGAAGGCGTGTTCTCAAATCCAGTCGCAGTCGCAGTCGAGTTTTGCTTCGACAGCTCATTCTGTGCCGTTTGCTTACTCTCCTCGCTCTTTTGACGTTGGAAAATGTTCTGGTATAACTTGGCTGCACAACAGATTGAAGATATGCTTATCGGTTATAAAAACAATAAATAAATTTACGTTTACATACCCTGCTCCTGCTCCCAGACGGAATATTTTATAAGTTTATCACATTTCGAATATTTGAGGTAGAATCGATCGTGAATTTGGAGCATATAAGATTCGTAGATGTTCAAGCGCTTAACATTGGCCAAGTCATCGCCCTTTATGCAGCTTTTTGGCTGCTTCAGTGGATCCAATTCATTACCACTATCAAACTGCGGCGTGGCCTTAAATGTCCAAGCAACAGTTATCGCCGTAGTTTTGACAGATTCGACAGTATACTAAAAAACAAAGACAAAATGTCACAAAGTAAGCAAGGACAGTTTTCATCTATACCTAACATATGGATGTATTCATATAGAAACAAGAGAATAGAGTCTAACGGATAGACCGCTATTTATGTATAGTTCTACTAACCATAGAGCGTCGCTTGCGATTGGTTGGTAAAGGTATGTCCGGGGTTAAATTGGTGACGCGATCCAAGGGCGGTAAACGTCCAACAACTACATTATTTGGGTAGTATACACTGGGACTAAAGACTTCACGCTCACTGGGCCCATAAGCATCCCTGAACTTGTGGAAGTCGTTCGATGTGATTTCAAGAAGTGTGCCAAAGCTTGATCTACCGAAGAAAATCAGTTATTTAATGCAAACCACACCCTATTTGCGGCTGCTTACTCACTTTAGCACGGCAGACTCATCTACGTTGATGGTGTATCCAATCCAATTCCCTAAGCATACGGGCACATCGCGTGACCACTCTGAAATCGGCTTTAAGCGCTCCGAGGGCACATTCCTGATCACGTATTTGGTGCCCAGCACTTTGACGTCTGCGCGGACGTTTACATCGCGCACATAGCCAGCCTGGCCAGACATATGTTTCTGTCCTGGTAGGCGGCGTCGCACCACATCACCTGGCATCAGCGTGCGGTCGACGAGGCCAATCTGAAATATGTTCACATTGTTAGAATTCGAGTTGGAGAAATAACGCACAAAAGCAGAAGACAAACAACACGTGTCAATGCTGATGTGCCCAAAAAGGCAAAACAGTTGTCTAAACAGAAATAACAGTTATTTACAGTTCTGCACACACATGTGTGTTCATACATACATGTTGATGTGAATACAGCAGTGACAATTACATAACCTCAACATACTTACCGATTTTTCAGTTCTCACAATTTCCTTGCCATCCGGATAGAAGGCGACGCGCACCTCGCCCTTGCTGAGCACCTCGTTAGCTTCCTCCTCCTCATCATCCGAAGAGTACGATTCGGCTGTTCCAGTGACGACTCCAAAACGTACGCGACCCTTGCGATCGATGCGAAATACTTCATCCTCGAAAAAGAACTGAAACTCCCGATTGTCCGAGCTCTTAGACGCCGCAGCGCCGCCAGCTGTTTTACGATTACTAGATGCACCGCTTGCCACAAATGGCCGCGATTCAGCTGTTGGTGACGTTTCAGTCTCCATATCTACTGCTGCTCCTGGCGGTGGTGTCGCCGGAGTCTCCATTGGGGTGCCGCCGGCATTGGCAGCACCCGCGACTTGACTCAACATATTACCAATTGTGAACTGTGTGAATCAGAATAAAAATTGCACATTTAATTCTGATGAAATGCGATATTTGATTATTTGCAAATTTCAGTTCGCAAGTTCGCAACCCAAATCACATTCTTATATGCTAGAAACATCGGCTGCATCAATTAGGCAGCCGAGATCCTGAATGGATTTCTGTACATACCATGGGCCGCCTATCGGCAAGAAGTTGTGCTTCCTAGTTATAATGTATGTAATTGCTGTTTCACGTACTCTACACAATCGAATTTATTTACAACCGAGTACTGGGCGAGAGGTGTCTAGCATAGTTCAGATTTCTTTCTAATACTGCTTAATGAATACATTTGAAGTCTACACTGGGGCGACTCCGGAATTTTGTAACAATTTTGCCAACTTATTTAAAAAAAAAAAAAAACCAAAAATACAACATCTGAAAACTAGTTAAGTTGGGCCCAATGCCTGTATTTCGTACAGCAGCACATTTAACATTTTACTGAACTGTTGTTAACAGAGAGCACCCATATTTACCAGAGAAATGCGCCTTCGGTCGTCTCATGAGTTTGATTAAAATTTAAATTTAAATTTTAAATAGATACATTTTGGGGCAAGAGTACAAAACAATTAGTTTTAACAAAAAAAAGTTCCTCTGATAGCTGGCTTACTGCAAAAAACACCCCAAACAAGAATCGAATTTGAATTTAGCAGCTGATTGCTAACAGAACAATAACAGGGCACAAAATATACTTTATTTTAAAAGCGACGAATCAATGTTAGTCTATACATATATGTATATTATCTTATGTATGCCATATACATCAATTTGATTTAATAATCTCAAGATATCAAACATCAAATCCTTTTTTGTAGAAAGCATGGCTAGTAAATCGATAATTTTTCGATACAATTTATTTTTCATGCGCGCCTATTATGTGCCCGGTATTGTGGATGCAGTTTATGGCATGTCTACTATAAATAAAATTATATAGATAAACCATCAAAAGTCAACAATATTTGCTTAGTACACACCTATTTCGAAAGCACGTTCTGCAGCGCTATTAAAAGTAGTAACACTAAGCTGGCGACCATAATTAGTACATATACTATTGTGGCTATGATGCATATTATTTTCATAATACTATAAATATCGCATAGCTAGCCGTCAACATTTCAAATGCCATCAAACCGTATACTTACTCGTTTCTTTAAAAGCAAGTGCACTTTGTGCAAGAATATAGTTGTTATACTGATTTGCACGTATTTACAAATTTCGCTGTGTATTGTTGCATTCACAAAAATTTTTCACAAAAGTGTATACTTAGATATAAAATAAAATTATGATTAAAATATAACAAACAAATGAAATTTAAAACAAGACATGCTTGGATTTTTTTTCTAAACATATGGGGAGATTTCGAATACACCAGGGCTGCTATTTTTCGATTCCAAATGACATAGCTAGTACCAAGTATGATTCTCCTAACGATACCGTTAACAAATAATTCGTGAACACCCAGAAATAAATTGGCAGTTAGTCGAAAAAGTTCCGCTAAAGCAGCTGTTTCAAAATCCGAGTTCAAATACAGTAGATTTTGGGAATGCTCTTGGGTTTGTTTCCACGTCAATTCGCAAAAGGTTAAAGCTAGACTACATGCTACATCCCATCCCGAGATTTAGCAAACCTCGCGATAGCGAACCTAACTCCGTATGGGGCTTATAATTCGTACAGACATAGAACAATATTCAAGTTAATTATAAATTCGTATTTTATTACTAAGACATTTTTCTAATATTGCAAATTTACATATTATCACATCTAACAATCATTGGTGGAGCATATGGCGAGTGGTGCACACCAAATGAGTAGGCGCGCCCCGATCTTCCAGGACGATAGTACATCAAATCATAGTAATTAGGACCGGGACCAACGTTCTCTTTACGCATATTACAAATCGGCCTCATGGAATACTGAGGCGCACGACATAGCTTAAGATTCAGATCTCCCGCAGCATATGCCGCCGGGCCAGGCGAATCGGCCTTGCGATTTAACTTCGCTTGGATGCCCCTGTTAAAACAAATGCAATTAGCCCAAGGCCAACAACACAACCGAACATAATACCCACATGCTATATGCTGGAGCGGATGGCTTTATGGGACTGACTTCGAACTTGTAGGCACTCGGACCAGGTCCGTACTTCTTGAAACTGAATTCATTCCGTTTACCCAATGAGTAGGCTGGCGCAGAAACCCCCTTGAAAAATGGCTTATTATGAACATCGTGTGCGCCGGGACCGGGACCAACTCTTTTGTCTGCAATTGAATCGAGTTATTAAGGCCGTGTCACTATTTGCTGTACGTCAACTTACCAATAATTTTTGTCATGGGGCCCATGGTGTATTGGAAACCCCCTCCTCGGCCATAGCGCGTAAGTTTATCTACCTGATAGGCACCTGGTCCTGGTCCCGGATCAGGACCCATCATGTTGGTACGAGCCCCGAAGGAGTATTGTGGCATTCGCTGTTTCCGGGTATCGTGCTTATCATACCCCACGGTTGGGGGCAACCCGTAAGCGCCGGGACCAGGACCTATTGTCGAGGAAATTGTAGAATAGTATCGTTTAAGGACTAACACACTTACCTAAAGGTCTACGCGCCATGTTTGTCTATTGCAATATTAGAAAAAAAGGCTTGAATTTTGAAACTCTTGCGAGTTGTCCGTACGGTTCCCAAATGTAAACTGAATCACATTCAGACAGCCCCATACCTTATGCTGGGACTCACATAACACTTAAGCCATGGCAAACTTGTTTTAAAAAAATTCAAATAAAAATGCTTACAGATAAGCTTTTACGCTTAAATCCATTATGAAGAATAAAACAAGAATTTTGTTTCTGTGCATTCGGCTGTCCGTTTAAACACGCCCACTTAGGAGCAGGTGACCGAGAAACTTAAATCTTCCACTGTCTGACAAGAGTCGTAATATTTTGCCAAGAATATTTAATATCTTTTACATAATATAGCCGTCATATAGTAAAAATTGACGTTTTCTAAAGATCCAATTTGAAAAACTTCTTTGCGCTTGTCTTGGTGCTGGATTTGCAGGACTTTGTGTAAAAGAATTATAGATGAGAATTTATTCGCAAATTGATGTGAAATTGAGCCGAAAAATTTCAACATGTGGTTGGGATAGCGAAAACTTCCTACGCTGGTGGGTCCACATACAAGAACAAGCGACAAATGATATAGAGGGCAACATTTTTTGATGATCGCAACATTAAACATTCAACGCACATTTCACACTTTATTACTACTAGGATTCATTTACATAAAATTTTTTCTAATATTGCAAATCTACATATTATCACATCTAACTACCATGGGTGGAGCATAGGGCGAATGGCGCACACCGAATGAATAGGCTTGTCCAGTCTTGCCAGGACGATAGTACATCAAATCATAATAATTAGGACCGGGACCCAGGGTATCTTTTCTCATATTGCAAATGGGTCTCATTGAGTACTCAGGAGCGCGATTCAATCTGATATTCATATCGCCTGCACCATAAGCAGCCGGACCAGGCGAAATTTCCTTGCCCTTAATCCTGGTTTGTATACCCCTATTTAAAGAAAATTAATTAGTTCATAGTCTGGATAACAATTGTAGGTAATACCCACATGCTATAGGCGGGTGCGGCTGGCTTAATTGGATTGACCTCATAATTATAAGCACTCGGACCGGGTCCACACTTCTTAAAACTATAATTGTTACGCACTCCCAAGGAATAAGCTGGTGCATTGACTCCTTTGAAGAACGGTTTTAAATGGACATCGTATGCGCCGGGGCCGGGGCCAATTCTTTTGTCTGCAGAACAGAAGCCCAAATAAAACAGCAGGAATAACTATTTGATCCCTTAACTTACCAATAATTTTTGTCATGGGGGCAATGGTATATTGCAAACCGCCGCCCATTCCATAGCGCGTTAATTTGTCTACCTGATAGGCGCCCGGTCCTGGTCCAGGATCGGCACCCGTCGTTTGCGTGCGCGTTCCGAAGGAGTATTGCGGCATGCGCTTCTTACGGGTATCATGCTTTTCATAACCCACGGTTGTGGGCAACCCGTAAGCGCCGGGACCAGGGCCTGTCGATTAGAGAACCATTAGCTGTGGTGCTTCAAAGGGCCTATTCAACGCTTACCTAGAGGTCGACGCGCCATGTATTTTTAATTTATTGCAATATTAGAAAAAATTTTCGACTAATTTTGAACTCTTTTGAGTTGTGTGCCGAATGAATTTCAAAAGTGTAATGAGAGCAGCCGAGGCTCTCACACATATTTAGTTTAGTGTCCACATGAACTTTATGTCAAGGGCAAGTAGTTTTGCGAGTAACATCAAAAGACATTTAGGTATAGGGATTTAATGGTTGTGCTTTTCATAGAGATTTGGTAAGTTGTTGACATATATTGCTTGAGCTTAAAGTGAGTGCAGTAATTATTCCAGATCCATGGAATTGTAGAGCTGCTTATAGCGTGAGCCACGCCCACTGTTCTGCATGAGCAAATCGTTTTGATGCTCCCTCAGGCGCTGTGCGTGCATGGAAATGAAATGAAAATATGAGAAAAATTACACTTTCCTGGGATTATTATTTGAAGCACCTACTTTCGGATCATATTTCTGATATAGATAAACCAATATGGGGCCGTATAGAATATTGAAGATACCCACAATGCGCATAAGCCAGGCAAAGCCAAAGCTCTGTGCCAGCTCGCCGCCAATTAAAGGAGCTGCCAAATATGAAGCAAACTGCTAGAAAGCGTCAGAGGATGAACAAAGTCTTACCAAGGCAGTAAGCTAGGCTCACGGATGTCTGCTGTATAGCATAGACCGTGCCGTAGCTCGACGTTGAGCTGCTGGTCTCGCCGAGCTCATCCTGCGCCAGTGTGGCATCCACAAAAGTGGCCAGAAGTGGAACCAGGGCCGCATCGATCACACCAATGCCTAGGCCCAGGGCAAAGTGGGGCAACAGTAGTTGAGCAACAGTCGTGGCGCTGGGTATCTGTATAAAAAGTTATAATATTAGCAGACAGAATGAAGCCAATCATCCTACAATACCTACCAGAATCGAGGCAAAGCCCACCAACAGCAGGCTGACGCAGGAGACCTTTAGCTGGCCATAACGATAGGCGATGCTGCCAAAAAAGTTGGTGCCCACAAAGTAGCCCACGGAGTCCGGTATAAAAACTGTGCCCAATTGCCATTTATTCGGATGCAGATATTGAATCAACCAAATGGGCAAACACGGCTCCAGTATGGCCATTGTGGAAGTGGATAGCCAAATGGCAATCACAATGGCCAAAATCATTTTGCATTCGAGAAGCGCGCGCCACTTAGTCTTCTGTTCCACGACCAAAACTTCTGGCTGCACGGAAAGGTCCATGGTGAGCAGCTGTAGACCCAGGCTCAAAAAGATGACCGTGGCGAGTATTACAAAGGGTGCCGATTTGCCCACCATATCATAGAGTATGCTACCAAAAGGATAGCCCAATAGCACGCCCAAGGCAATGCTGCCCAGAATGATGCCCATGACCTTGGAGCGACGTGCCTCCTCTGGATAGTGCTGGGCCACCAGACTCATGCCGCACACACCAATGCAGGCGGAGCCCACGCCCTGAATAGCGCGAGCCAGCAACAACATCCAATATGATTCGCCCACGGCAAACACTGAAACGAAAGCATAATAGAGGGATATGCAAAAGTGAGCAGCCTGCTGCAAGTTTACCGAGCGAGGAGAGCAAAAGAAAGCAGGTGCCCACCATAATGGGCAGTCGGTAACCACACTTGCTCGACATATTGCCAACAATGGGATTAAAAATCAATTGAACCAGCGCTTTCATGGCCAACAGCAGTCCAATGGAGCCATTTTCGTGCGTCAGGCTCAGGCTGTTGAAATTGCCTGTGGTATCGACCTTTGTGGTTGTCGTCGCATTAGTGCCGCCCAAATGATTGCTGGGCGGCGGCATATTTGGCATCGTTGTGGTCGTCAGTAGCTGCAACAAAGTGAAATTCACCATCGATTTGCCGGGTATTGGATGCTTTGCCATGTAGAATTGCGCGTGACCTTCGTTGCGGTAAGCAAGCTGATGTACCATCGGTGTGGGGGACGGCGCGCCCTCCTCCAGCCGATAACCCTCAAAGGTGGGCTTCTCAAGGCTGGCCAAATAGTCAGGTAAAATGGGCACTGTAAGCGGCACACTTTAGTTTCTGTTATCTCGCTGTTGTTATCTTTTAATTGGCATTACCTATTACGGTCAGCAGCACATTGTCCAGCAGTAGAGCTATGTACACAATTCCCGCTATTAGGCAGCGATTCTCAATGCCATTCGACTGAGGTGTTGAGCTGCGCCTGGCGGAAATGTTTAGCTTGGCCGCTGCCTGGCCACTTGTTGACTTCGCCGACATGACACGCGCGCCACGAATCCAAATAAATATGCAACACTAATACAGACGCACAAAGGCTGAATGTTATTACACTGGCATATGGCCGAGCAGAGAGGCGCCGCAAAATATGCTAAACAATAATAAGCGCACAGGCACTCACGCACACACACGCAGACGCACAGGCACACACACACGCACACAGCCTTAAAAGCTTGTTTAGAAGCAGAGTTTTCGCGCTCTTTAACCAACAGGTGGTGTTGCTGCCTTGTCAACGCGTTTGTGGCTAGTGAAAGGTTGCAACAGGCCGCCAAATGCTTTTACTGGCAGCATGCGAGCCGAACGAAACGAACGAGCACACGAATCACAGTGAACGAGCGCCAGCTAGGAAAGGAAATCATCTGAATTCAACATGTGGTTCAAGAGTGGAGCGTATGCACTACCCCATTGTGTTGGTAACATTAAAGTCAAATATATTATAATTCAAAACTAAATATAATAGATTAGAAGTGTTCATACAAATCAAATATGAATTAATAACAAATTGGAATAGAAACTAACTGGCAACCCCTAACAAAAAAGAAAACAATTATGCAAGCATTTCACAATTTATCGATCTCCCAGCCAGCTCCATGATTGTTGTTGCAAGTCAGTTTTATGATATTTATTATGGACAAATATTTTATTAATTTTTATTACATTTATTATTTTTGGTCAACTAAGTCTCAGTACAGGGTACATTTCTGTCGCCCACACTCCATTTGTTGCTGTTCTTGTTGTTGGTGTATGTTATATTGCTGCTTACCAGACTGTTGTTATGGCTGTTGCTTTGCCCATCTCCACGATGCCACACCCACTTAAAGCGCTTAAAGTTCATACGACTCGCAGGCCTGCAACCTGCCTTGTCCCTGATAAGCATGCTATAGATTTTTCAGACTTTCGAATCATTTTCCATTTCATTGAACTCTTCGCCGTTTAAATTTAGTCCCAAGAGAGCTGCCGTTCAACATAAATCTGTGACGAACTGCGTCAATTGCTTGCTACACAATAAAGCACATTTAACAAGGGGACATTCTCGGAGAAGAGAGCGAGAGATTGACACTTGCCGAGTGTGTTTATGCGTTGACTGTGGCCCAGTTTTGTGTGTGTAGATTGACATCCTTAATGCAAGTCATCAAACAATCGTTTACTATTTAACTAAAAGCTCTATTAGAAACCATTTTGCTTAAGTTTGCAATATGTTTACATATGTTTTTCGAATACTAATCAACTTAGCATTTAATTTTTCTAATTGATTTGCCTTTAAGAATCTTTTGAACACCTGTTTTAGTATAAAATTCTAATCTCAGCTGAGTTCCTTAAGGCAATCGAGGTACATAGGTATGTCCCCGATAAGATAACCAATTCGCAAAAATTATCATCAGAGCTCAAGAAATAGACTGCAGCTGCGCTATTTTCATCATTGAGGGATAGACAATCAATTAAACCAAAATTGGGCAAGTGGAACTTTTATTAACATATTCATTTTCGATTTTATTCTATTTTCCCCCTGCTTATCCGCACTCTTCGATTATAAGCGATTAATAGATTTTTCTATTGTATATAAATGAGCCGTAATCAACTTTTTAATTGCACAGTGCTTATCCCATTTAACCACTTCAGGGGTCTATTTGTTAAGATTAGGTGTGAGTAGAAAAAAAGCTTGAGTCGGTTATGCTTTGAACAATTGATTCAGTTAACGGGCTTCTAGACAAGCGATCGGTCAAAAAATGTTCAGGTGCAAAAATGATTTGCTCCTTGGCGCTTTGCTGTTGCTGCTGATAGCCGCAATCGGTAGGTATCAGGCATATGCAGATACCACAAAGAACACCTGTTTTATAAAGTGCTTACCCAGGTGGCCAGGCTGAAACCGTTCCTTGTAAGCTTAAAGATGCTCAATATGGCAAGGTATGTGTTTGCACAGCGGATTACTGCGACTATCTGGAGAATCCCACGCTGAGCCAGGATGATGAGTTCGCGCTGATCTCTAGCAGCAAGCAGGGGCTTCGCTTTGAACTAAACAAGGGCAACTTTGGAGTTCAAGAAATGTACACCATAAATGACTATGAAGAGCCAGCTGCGGAAACCACGGCCAGCAATGGCACAATCCTATCGCGGATAGTGGATCAGGCTTTAGCCACTATATTCTCGCAACCTGTCTCCCCGACCAGCAGCATCACTCGCTCCGTCACGCTGAAGGTGGATCGCAGCAAGCAATACCAAAGAATTGAAGGTTTCGGTGGCAGCTTCACGGGAGCTGTGTCCTACTTATTGGAAAACTATAAGGAGCAGGACATTCAAGACCATCTATACAAGAGTTTCTATGCCGCCGAGGGATTGGGATTCAATTTAATGCGCGTTGCAATGGGCGGCTGCGATTTTGATTTGGAAGCCTGGTCCTATAACGAGCAGCCCGAAAACGAAACTATACTGACCGGCATGGATAAGCTAGACGATCGTGATGTTATTCGCGTGGAGCAAATCAAACGACTGAAGGAAGTGTCGGGCGTCGAAAATCTGCGAATCAAGGGAGCTGCCTGGAGTGCGCCACCATGGATGAAGACCAACAATAGGTGGACTGGCTTCGGGCGCCTAAAACGCGAATACTATCAGACCTGGGCCGACTACCATCTCAAGTGGGTGGAACTGATGGAGAACAATGGTCTGCCGATTTGGGCCATTTCCACTGGAAATGAGCCAACAAATGGAATACTTTTCATGGTTTTCGTCAAGTTTATGAGCATGGGCTGGACACCACAGACGCAAGCTGTATGGGTGGACGACAATTTGGGTCCCACAATTCGTAACTCAAAGTACAAGGACCTAGTCATATTCAGTAACGATGATCAGCGATATACCAGTCCGCTTTGGTTCAAACAGGTAAAACGATTAAGAGTCCAATTTTTTCTATACTGATTTCGACAAACTTATCCCTAACCCAATCCACTCGCAGATGAACCGCACTCGCCCAGGTTCGCTCAAATACATTGACGGTGTATCTTTGCACTGGTATTGGGATGAAATATTTGGTAGCAGCTTTGTCCAAGACACCAACGAGTTCATGGCCAATAAAATACAGATAATATCTGAGTCTTGTATTGGCGACAAGCCCTGGCAAAAGGCAGCTCCTCTGTTGGGCAGTTGGGAGAGCGCAGAAAAGGTTGCACGCTCATTTCTGTCCCATCTGCAGGATGGCTTCCATGGCTGGATAGACTGGAATATCATTTTGAATGAGGCGGGTGGTCCAAACTATGTAAACAACACTGTTGACGCTCCAGTTATTGCCAATACGACATGTAAGCAGTTGCACACGCTCATCGAATTCGGCTCATCCTATCTTCATTACCAATTTTTGTTTTGCCAGCCTATACTGAGTTCTACAAGCAACCCATGTTCTATATCATGGGTCATTTCTCCAAGCTTGTGCCTGAGGGCTCCGTACTTATCGAGGCGGTGGCCAGCAATGTCAACCTCGATTGTGTGGCCTTCATACGACCTGACGAGAAGATTGTCGCTGTCCTCTTCAATAGTGGACGCGCCGACCTGGATATCAGTGTCGTGGATACTGTGCGCGGAAACCTAAAAGTCAATGTGCCCGCCAAGTCTATACACACTTTACTCTACAACTAAATGCGCAATAAATTTGTCTAATATTTAAAATATATTTTTTTTAACTTCCATCGAATTCCCTGATTTAAGGAAAATATTTATCTTTGGATCAGTTTAAGGTGAGCAAAGCGAGTGCAAATGTGTGCTGGGTTACTTTGGATTCGAATAGAGAGTATCTTTTAACAGACCACTTACACTTCGTATTTTAGAGCGAGAGAGAGATAGAGATAAAGAGAGGCGGCTGTGAAAGCAACTCTCATATTAAACGAAGAGAGTGCAATAAACTACCTTTTGCATAACTTTTACTTTGGATTGCCAAATCCGTGAGACGATTTCCAAGTGGCGCAGTCGATACGGCGCGTCGCTCGCAGCTCGCCGTCGCCGGCCGCTTTATCAGATCAACAGCTGGCGCAGGTCAAGTAGCAGGCACAACATAAACAACAATATGAGAGCCCACTTAAACCTATTTACACTAATAAATATCAGCGAATTCGGTTGCGATTGATTAGGAGAAACGCGTTTGCCGCTGGCGCCAAGCAATTTTACGGCTCAACCCAGCCCAGCTCAGCTCTCGAGTCAGTTGTGAGGGCGCATTCGGAGCGCGAGTTTCGTTGCAGTTTTCGTGTTGTTCGGGGCAAAAATGAAAGCGTGTTGGCTGTTCTTGCTGTTCGTTTTTGGCTTGTGGGCACGACGGGGAGGTAAGTGAATTTGTGTACCTTTGATTAAATTTTTACCTGTACATGCGCTAGTTGCAGCTGCCTTATCAGCACCTTGCCAGCTGAGGGAGACAAGCTACGGCAGCGTTTGCGTCTGCAACAGCAGCTACTGCGATTATCTAGATCAGCCGATTCTAAGTGACAACGCTCAGATTGTGGTAATTAGCTCTAGCAAGGTAAATGTGAATACTAATTAAATGCAATACATAATCAAAAATAATTTTAATTACAGAATGGCCTGCGTTTCAAGCAAGCCAATGCCAGTTTTCTGGACAAAGAGGCATTGGAAGTGCAGGATCATCAATGGATTGATGAAAACTTTGTAGCGGACTCCATTATTGTAGAGCAAAACAAAGCCTGGCTACAATTTGCCAACGTTCCTCAACGCTTCGGTAATTGAAACGCTGCAAAATCAACTATTCAACACTTAAGCTCTCCCTCTCTCTTTCTTGTTCAACACTACACAGCTTTCAATGTGAGCATTAAGACCGTGCAGTTAACAGTTAAACGCGAACTGCGTTATCAGAAAATAACAAATTTTGGAGGCGCTTTTACGGGTAGCGTGTCGCACATTTTAAAGCAACTGCCAATCGATTTGCAGGATCATGTCTATAGGTATGTATATGCCCTGGAGATCATACGTGGATTTCTAATCGAATATTTGATTTTGATATAGATCCTATTTTCACGCCGATGGCATTGGCTATAACTCAATACGCATGTCAATTGGCGCCTCCGACTTTGATCTACAGCCCTGGGCCTACAACGAGCTGCCGCGCAATGATCCATCACTGAGCAACTTTAGCACACTGGATTCACGTGATCTTCAGAAAATTGAACAGCTGAAACGCCTTAAAGTAGTTGCCCAACTGAATGATCTGAAAATTATGGCCGCTGCTTGGAGTGCGCCTACATGGATGAAGAGCAACGAAAGATGGACGGGTTTCGGTCAGCTGAAATCGGAATACTATCAAGCCTGGGCGGATTACCATTTGAAGTGGGTGCCCGACAAAGTTTACCAGTCGGTGGCTATTTTAATGAGCATTAATGTGCACTCTTTGCAGATTTCTCGAACTGATGCAGTCTAAAAATATGCCCGTCTGGGCCATATCCACTGGCAATGAGCCGTTAAACGGCGTCATTGGTTTCATCTTTATACACTTTATGAGTATGGGCTGGACGCCCTGGCAGCAGGTTGGCACAGCAATTCATAATTATAAGCATTTATACAGTAGATTTTCCTTAATAGGCGATTTGGCTCGGCGATTATCTGGGACCGACCATCAAGAAGTCCAAGCAGAGTCATGTGCTCATATTTGGCAACGATGATCAGCGCTATACGTATCCCTCCTGGTTTCGCAAGGTAAGTTAACAGATGAAACTGTGATAAAGTTACGTAGGTTCTTTGAATCTACCCACGTAGGATTCTGATTCTGCAATATGTTTTCTAATATTGATGGATGGTTTCAAGCTGGAAGTTCGTAGAAACTGTAGCTTTATAGCATATCAAAATGTGCTTACAGCATAATTTGATCACGAAATGCGTAATTATAGCATAGCATCTAGATAGAGTACCAGCTGCCTTAGAAACGCACTTGGTGAACATAAATAATTCAAACTTAATAATCTCTCACAAATAGATGCGCGCCTCTCGCTCGAATGCCCTCGACTATCTTGATGGCCTGGCGGTGCATTGGTATTGGGATGAGATCTTTGGACCAAAGCTTATAGATGATGCCCATACAGAGATGCCAAATAAATTGTTATTAAATACGGAATCTTGCATCGGCGACAAACCGTGGCAGACGCACGGCCCAGAGCTGGGCAACTGGGGGCGTGGCGAGAGCTATATGCGTGCCTATATACAGGACTTGCTGCACAATTTCAACGGCTGGCTAGACTGGAATCTGGTGCTAGACGAGCAGGGCGGTCCAAACTATGTGCACAATTATGTGGATGCTCCGGTGATCGTGAATACAACAAGTCGCACCGAATTCTACAAGCAGCCCATATACTATGCCATCGGGCATTTTAGCAAGTTTCTTCCGGAGCAATCCGTGCGGATCGAAGCGAGAACCAACGAAACCGAGTCCTTCGCCCAGCTGAGCGCGGTGGGCTTCCAAAGACCGGATGGCACCGTGGCGCTGATCTTGTACAATGGGTATGTGGCACGCGTCTTGTCTAACACTCAAGTGTCTGCACGTCCTGCAGATGTTGCTGCTATTTTTGGCGGCATCTGCGCTAAAGTGGCTGGCTCTTAATTGTGCATAACACTCGAAGACACTCGAAGAACTAGACAGCATTTACTGCATTTTATGAATGTATCTCAAAGATACTTTTCATTCTTACAGCGAAAACTTGCCCGTTAATGTGGCGCTCAATGACAGTCAACGCGGTGCATTTAATTTGCGTCTGCCCGCTCGCTCCTGGCACACCGTGGTCTACAAATGATCTGCAATGGCTTCCAGGAAACTACAAAATGGGTTAAGCATAGCGTAAAGTGATATAATCTATATATAGCCAAGGGTCCAGCCGGCGGTGCACGTAGCGCCTAGCACGTTGTTACTGCCCCAAGGACCAATTAGGATAGAAAACATGTTTGCCACTCTGCTCCGCTCAAGTGACAAGCGCAGGAAGCCAATAAATTTGCCCCGCAACAGGATGCGGATGCTCCCCAATGCGTTGACTCTGGAGATTTGTCCAAGCGCAACGACCAAGACAACGGAAATTTGTTTAAGCTGCTCAATTTGCCGTAACACGTCTGTTTACAATGAAAATTCATTTGCCGTTTACCCCGCCGCACCGCCCCGTCTCAGTCTGGTCTGGGGTATGGGGCATGGGGCATGGGTAGGTGGCACGGCAAGTATAAACGAAATTTCGGATCAAGTTGAGTGACAACTGGCAGTCGAGCGGCGACAACGACCAACCGAAAACATCGTTCGTATAAATATTTTCTTAAGTTTTTCTTCAAATAAAATGTTCTTCTTATTTTTTTTTACATGCTCTATAAATATGATTGTCAATTGAGCGCACAGCACATGCATTTGCTGCATCTAGTATATGCATCTGGCCCCGACAAAATGGGGCGTTTTATGTAAATCTATAAATTAAACATGAAATATTCATAATTTCTGTATGACCAATGAGTGCACCGCAGAGAATCTTTTTGGCAATAATTTAAGAATAAAAGATACTTTTAATATCAAATGCACAACAAATGATGAAAATGTTTTGGGGATAAGCGCAGCCATTTCTCATTGGTGCCCAGTTTAAGTACGGGCTATATTGGGGTAAATTTAATGCGTTCATTACATGTTGCAGTGGCAAGTGGCAACAGCATGTCAATGCGTCTTGGGAAATACTTTCAAGTGCTTACAACAAAATACACTTATCAGGCAGCAGCGTGTCAATTACATGCCACACCCACGCCCCTTTTTTTTGTATACTTCTTGCCACAAAAGGGTAAATAGAGCATATTGACTGTGCGTAAAGTCTTTCGGTCTATCCATGTAGTCGCTTCTCAATTATTATGCTCAGATCAAAATTTAAAATTATTTTTGCCATATCAAAAGACTTTTGATCAATCATTATATAACTAAAGTAATCACTTTTATTTTATTTCTGATCATAGTCCAGTAGATTGCCTCAAAAAAATGTTATTTCTGCTCTGCTCCAATTCGTGTCGATATCAACGTTAGATTGATAGTGCAACGATAGATTACTTTTGACTCAGGAGAGTTGATCCTTTCCACCAATTATTATACTATCTATCTTACTCTAATAAAGAAAAATACAATTGCAATGCATAATCTATGTTTATTGCTCAAGACGTAGGACTTAAAATCGGTAGAAATGGAAAAGAGTTCGTTTATAAATGAAAATCAAGATCCACACTCGAAGCGTAGCTCGCAGCTCGTCGCTGGTTTCAGGGTATCTATAAGTCGGGCACTCCCGACTTGTTTACTTTTCTTTTTTGAACAGCCAATACCAAAGGCCCTGTGGGATGTGCCAGCGAGAGTGTTGAGTGCTTCTTTAAGTTGATGTAGTTGGAGTTGTTGTTCTTGTGGTGTTTGCAGTGCATGAAGTTAATGAGGCTCATTATGAATATGGCAGCGATATGTTTGTGTCATAAGCAATAAGAATGCAGTCAGGGCATTTACACGCGCTGCTCTCGTCAGGAGAAGATCAAAGCGCACTACCATTTCCCAGGGTGCGCAACCCACCCATAATGTGTTATGAGTTATTGGAGTATGGCCAAAGCAGCGGCAACTCCAGCTAGCTGATCCGCTTCCTGGCAGTCTCGCCACGTTTACGTCCACTTCCACGTCCACGTCGTGTGCCTGTCAACAGCTGACAGCGCCATGTCAGAGCAATTTGCTGTACTGAAGGTAGGTGCTCCGCTCATCAGCACCTCCTACACATGTCGTGTCTCTGTGACGGGCACTCAAATTGAATGCTCAAAACAAACGCACACACAGGCTGGATACTATTTAGCGTCAGATTTATTTCAAGCATAAAACGGCGATCACATTTCAGAGCGACCGTGGTAATGGGTCGGGGGGGTGCACTTAAGTGGCCCGCGGGACAAAGGCGCCGGATGTAACTATTCGATATACATACACCATATTGCCCCATAGTAAATACACACACACTCATGCATACACATTTGTCAGCGAGAGCTGTTCTATGCAGATTTGTATTTTATTTTGCCAAATGATAGGTCGTATTTTCCCAACTATTTGCCTGATAAGATAATCAAATTAGCCAATCAATCGAGCCAACCGTGGCCCAATTAACAGGAATCATAAGCGCTATAGCCAGCAACAAGATGCGACGTCCGTTGTCACCAACGCTAGCAAAGCTGGCCGAGCAGGAGCTGAACGAAACGCCCGACAGGATACAGCAGGACATCATCATATTGCGCGTCTGGATACGCCAGCAGCCACATTTGCGCGCCCGCACCGAGGACGACTTTCTGATCGCGTTTCTGCGCCGCTGTCGCTATAGCCTGGAGGAGACCAAGCGGCGCCTGGACCGTTACTTCACCTACTATAATCTCTTTCCAGAAATTATGAGCAATCGCTATATCACACAGCGACTGCTGGATATCAATCGATTGGGGTAAGTAGCTGGTGAGGAATCACACCACATCATGTAGCCTGTCGACATTTTAGGATCTGCCTGTATCCGGATTTGCCCAAGTGTGACAACCGCACCGCCCTGTTCATAGCACGTTTTGGCAAGCTTGATCCCAACCAGTATAGTCTGCGCGAGATTTATCATTTCACTTCCATGGCGATGGAAATTGTTGCGCTGGAGAATGATTACGCATCTGTGGCGGGTATTTGTGAGATTATCGATTTGGAGGGCGTCACCTCGGATGGGATGCGCCGCTTCGATAAGCAATTCTTTCGCAAATGGTGGAACTGGCTGCACGACTGCAGTCCACTGAGAATCAAGGAAGTGTATGTCATCAATATGCCGAAGGACATACAAGGCCCCATTATGTTTCTCTACAATGTGCTCAGCATGCAGGTCAACTATCCGGTGAGCTCAATTAGCACTCTCGAATGACCTTATCCCGTCCAGCTAATCGAGATTTGAATCGCAGATACGCGTGCTGAAAAACAGCGAGGAACTCTTTGACCACATCGGCAAAGCCAGCCTGCCCGAGGAATACGGCGGCACCAATGGCCACATGGCCGAGAGCGTTGCCTATATGGAGGATTTGCTAAACAGCTATCGTGGCTACTTTGAGCAGGAGTACAAGTATGGCACCGTTGAGGAGCTACGACCGGGCGAGGTAGCCATGTACGAGGCCGAGTTTGGTGTCAATGGCTCCTTTCGCAGGCTGAACTGGGATTGACAGTGACCCTGTCCGGTCCAACCGTATTGTTAAGTCAAAGCTCTGCTGTAGTCGATCAATTAAATTTGTGTACCCCGCATAGATAAACAGTATATCGCTTAATTCGCTTATCGCCAAGTACACATGTATGTACATTCATATATCTCTCGCTGGATATCTAACAGCGAGCGTTCCAGCTATTACCAGGTCGCTGTTGCTGATTAGATAGCCCGCCCAAGCTACTCACTCACTGGGCGTCAGCCATTCGGCATTCGAGTTGCAGCTATCAGAGCGCTAACATGGCCGGACTGCGACCCCTGGCACCGGAACTCTCGGCGCTCGCCCTGTCCGAGTGCAATGAGCAGCAGGCGGAGCGCGGGGCTTTGATAGCCACACTGCAGACGTGGATTGGCAAATCGCCGTATCTGAAGGCGCGCACGGATGAGCGACTGATTTTGGCTTTTCTGCGACGTTGTCGCTTCAGTTTGGAGGAAACCAAAAGACGCATTGACAATTACTATTCCCTGCGCAATGCCTTTCCCGAGGTGCTCTGCTCGCGGCAAGTGGACGAGGCGCTCCTGCGGCAGTTTGATCGCGGGTAAGCCCCAACTCTTCTTCTATAATCTACATTTATATTAGTAACTGAACCCATCTTAGTATACATGTCATACCCGCACGACCAGCGAACCCGCAAGGACCACGTGTTATCATCTCCCAGTTCTGTAAGATCGATCCGAAGCAATCGAATCCCCGCGAAGCCTTCAAGCTGCTCTTCATGCTGCTGGAGCTGCTTGCATTGGAGTGCGATAATGCATCTGTTGCGGGTCTATTCTTTGTGGTGGACGCACGTGATGTCAACATGGAACAAATGATGCAATATGATCCATTTCTGCTGAAGAAGACCTTTATGCTGGTGGATCAGTGTTTGCCGCTGCGTTTCGCAGAGATTCACTTGGTGAACATGATACCCTCGGGTCAGACCATCTTTAATTTTGTCACCAGCTTTTTGCCAGCCAAGCTGCCCTGGAAGGTGCGTAATCCGACTCACTTAAGCATAGAATTCCTATTAATCCCCTTGATTATTCCGAATAGTTTGTAGTGCACAAGAAATCCGAGGATTTGTACAAGCATCTGCCGCCCGAGGCGATGACCATCGAGTATGGCGGCAGCAATGGCTACCAGGCGGAGGCCCTGGACTACTGGCGTCAAAAGCTGCAGGCGCACAAGGATTACTTTGCCGAAGATGCTCAATATGGCACAAACGAGAAACTGCGCGTCGGCCTGGCCAATGCCTGGGCCACCGGTGAACTGGGCGGCACCAGCGGCTCCTTTCGCAAGCTGGAAGTCGACTGAAAATTTGCGCTTGCTGTCTGCTTTATTCTTAGTGTTTATTTAAGTAGTTGCTAAAGCTAAAAAAGTACTAAACTAGTTCTACACGTTCACTGTTATTTGGTGTGTCCTTTTTGGGTATAGCTTGTATCCTTTGGCTGGCACTTAAACCTATCTTTACAATTAACTAGTTTGGCTGTATGTCGCTCAGTGCTAGGTGCTGCATTTTTGCTTGAAGTTCGCGTGAAGCGTCGACCCGCTGCCCTTCGCCGGCGGCGTGCTGCTGGATGAGATTGTGGCGCTGGATTTGCTGGCGGCGGCTTGCATTTGAACGGCGTTCGTTGTGCTCTTGTTGATGCTTTGGACAATGAGATTCAGGCAATCCAAGCTGGAGCCACTCGCACTGGCGCTGCCATCGAAATCTACCAAGAATTAAATATATCGATTAGGGTTAAGCAGGTAGCCCATTACCAGTTGATATATTACCTGCAAACTGGCCATATTTCTCCATGTGTTTGTTGTAAAAGATTAGCTTATCCTCCAGATACGCGCCCGCATAGGAGCTCTGCAATTGAAATGGAAAACGCATCCATGAGATATTATACTTAGATGCAATATTCCGTGCTAGTTTGTCTAGCTGCCACGAAATAAGCGAAACAATAAATTACAGCCAAAAAAAAAAAAGAGAAAAGAAGAAATAGCAAAAGTGTCGCCCCAAATGACAATGTCAGAAATGTCTGTGTCCAAATGCCATAGAAAACGCGCTCTAATGATGAGATTAACCCGAAATATATGCGACTGGTTGCTAGGGATTCCACAAAGCAGCCAATTAAAATGCATTGAACCGCTGCAGCCGGAGCCACAAGCATTGTCCCAAGAAGTCAGGAGTCGCGGGGCCACTTATTAGCAATTAAATTAATTTGCGCATTCGCAGACGACAGAAGTGGGCAAGCAGAAGCAGTTGGAGCAGAAGCTCGTACATGAACGGAGATTTGCGCAGATTTCATTAGAAAAATTCGCCTTAACGTTTTGGCCAGGAAAATTATAATTGCCAATTCTGGGTGGGTTCCCGACTGCAGTTTGGCGAGCGTGTTGCCGTCGCAGCGTCTACAAGGATCAGAGCACATGGCCAGTGCCAGTGGCTGTGGCTGGGATTGGGACTGGGATTGGGGGGCTGAGGCAGTCATTGGACGTGTTTGTTATTTTTAGGCACACTGTGACATGAGAACAACACCCAGCAGAGAACAGCAGCCGAACAAGCAAAGAACAAAACGCCGAACACAACAACTCGCGGCTGCACTTTTATAAAGCGATTTATCATTTCCCGAGCGTTTACTGACAGCGTGCGCTCGATATAAGCGACACACATATGAGCACACTAAATGCATATAGTATATATTTTATTTTATTTTCTTTTCTTTTATTTTACTTGGCGCAGACAGCATAGGCGTATAGTATATGTAAGCATGTTAATATCTGAATGAAATGCCACTTATCACTCGCTAAGCATTTATGAGTTGCGCAAAGATTTTAAGCCGCCTTTTGGCGCGTGGTTCTTGGAAGTGGACTCCTCTCAGATCAGAGGAAAAGCAGAGACTTTTGAATTGTAACGGATATGCCGCATTATGCTGCCTGACGGCCTTTTTATTATAAATTGTGGAAGCATATATTAACCAAATTTAACGACCTTGCAATTTCTTTTTGCTTTTATTTTTACAAAATATTTGTAGACAATAATTGATTGAACTAAAGTCGAGCCGTAGATAAGACAGCATAGATAGTTTCACGCAACTAAGTACATATAAAGTTCACTTCCGTTTTATGGCCAAACGATAGACTCACATATTCCGCGGCATGAGTCATTTGCACCTAAATGTTTATACTGGGCCAAATTTATTGATGGCACCGAATACAAACTTATGTGATTACGTTTGAAGTGTCTACTCAACTGATATGGTGGGAATTGTTTGATAGAAGGCCTGGCACAGTCGCCAGGTGTGCCTTTGTTCAAGTTTAAAGGTTTATGTATAATAAAAAAAATATATGATTATAATATGTTTTATTGCGGCCGTATGAAAATAGAAACAAATGCAAATGGACTCGGCAAATCAATTAAAATCGATCAGCTACTCGCAATAAATTGCAATATCTCTTTCTGAAAGCAAAGCAACTAAGTATATAATGAATTTAAATGTAAAGATATCTTCAATTTGAGGGTATTCAGATTTAACGAATAAAACATTTAGGACACGGCTTACAATAGGAAAAATATAAGAAAATAGGAATATACATTTATACAAATGTATTGAGTGGGACTGCAGTTTTTTAATGGGAATGCAGAGCAAATCTATTTGCTAGGTTTATTTATGACACATTTGTTATCAACGCTTAGAACTTTGCACGTTAATATTTAAAAATACAATTCCAGTTTTAACAATTCCCCCAGCTTGCATTTGCTACCCCAATGGGATGGATGGATGAATTGTCAGGCTGTGGCTGGGATGCATTTTAATGTCTGGCACGCTGGCATTTCGCCAGTTTTTAATCAAACTATGGACGCGCATTAATATCTGCCATTGAGGGCGCGTACTGTCGGCATATGGACAAATATGCAAGGTTTTATGGTAAATTAACAAATTTGTACATTAAAATTTGTAAAACTCAAACAAACTGCATGGAAATTACTCAGCAGAGTGTGGCATCAGTTCTTGCGATCGGGCATCCATAAAAGATATAGCCGCGGCTATTGCAAAAATGTTCGCATAATTGTTGACAATTTGTTTTGCTGTCACATCGGGCCTCTCGGCTGCCCCATCGGGCCCATGTCTTGCAACACCTTTCGGGGAACAGCGCTCCGATCTTGTCATGTTTTTCCTGTGCAATTTGTCAACTGACACATTTCCCTTTTTCGACTCGAACATATATTGTGAAATGGTATTGAGAGAGGCCCCTCTTTAGGGAAGAACATTCAAATGTCGCTCAAGTTTTATCACATGAAAAGCTGCCTGTAGCTATTTCGAATTTGTTATAATTAATTTACAACACGTTTCTCGTTTATAGTTTAGAGTTTGGCATTGGGTGGCTTTGCACCCCCCACACCCTCTCCATATTTAGTGAGCGCCTAAAAAGAAAATTTATTTATTGAATTTTACTAAATGCAGACCGAAGCCTCCCTTCAACTTAATATAAATAAATTCTGCGCCCATTTCAATTTTGTGTGTGTTAATTTTTGGGCCATTTTTTTCTGATTGTGCCCCAGCCGCTTGGACTTTTTGAACAATTGGGGAGCCAGCTCTTGAGGCAATCATAACTCATAATTCTCCCCTTAAAGCCTTTCCCGATAGAAGAAGCTTATTAAGCTGCACGTCAGCGAGCGCATAAATTGTTGGGCAGCAAATTGTGTCGATGTCGCAGTATGGATATGGCTCGGAGATATTTTGGGGGTATGGGCATTGAGATCTGGTGAATGGGGAGCTGAAGCTAAACGCAAGAGTCATGTTATTCTATTTTCACGTTCGGCAAGCTCTCGGGCAGACACTGAGATTTTGATGAATGTGCGCGTCAGCCAAAGAAAAATGTACGAAAATGTTTTTCATGCATGAGGTTTTTACGAGAAAATAATTGCGGAACGTTTGCCATTGCCTTTAATATTAATTGGCGTTCAGCAAAAACTTACCAGATAATCGGACTGGCAGCTCTTGCCGCTTAAACTGGGCGCCAGATTGTCGCCATCGCGTGTGGGTGTGGATTCCTAAAACAAACAAGCCGCAGCAGAGTTAATAACTGAAAAAAAAGTGACAAAAGACATAAAAAAAAAGCTGCCCACCTGCAACAGATCCTCGAGACTCTCGATGTATTCGATGGCATTGCGCAAGATCTCAACCTTGGGCAGGCGCTGATTGGGATTGGATGATGTGCGACGCTTCAAGATCTCAAAGGCCTCGTTAACCTAGAAAGCCAAGTTATGCGCCGTCATCAATTAAAATTCATCATCGAAATTATAGATACCATAGAAATCCATTAGACCTGCCATAAAAACCCACCCAGCGGCTAGCTCAGCCTTAAGTGGCTCTTTAATAAAACATATTTTAAATTAAATCGTGCATAAAATTTAAACAATTAAACCGTTGGGCGCGGGCGTTCATGTTGCTCGCCAGACTCCCATGTCCCCCCTTTTCATAATGTTAATAGCCCTGTCGATCTATAAATACGACGCTCGGAACTCGGTTCTACAGTGTTTACGATTTGTCCCAGAACTCTTCCTCCGACTGTTGAGCTCGTTAATGTTCGCGTTTAATGTTTGGCCAATCCTGCTGTTTTATGCTTGTTGGGTGGCTTCCCCGTAGATCCAATGCTTTTCGAAATTTAGGGCCAAATGATTGCAAGTGACATTTACGTCCATGATGTGTTAATCTTTGTGGTGCAACTAAGTTGCGCGCAATCGGGCTCCATGCAAACGAACAGATGGGCGTAAATTATTCCAAAATATGACTACACTTCTTTTTTGTCAATTTATACATATTTTATTGCTGCGACACAATAATCACATGTATCTTATATAAAACCCCTTTTTCCAAAAGAACTTATTAGCTATTTAAAACTTAGAAAAATGAAGATTTTCGAAAGACGTTTAAAATTGATCGGCAGATATTTATGCAGGAAAAAAACTGTAAAAGCTATTAGAAAATTATGATTATTCGGAAACTGAAGATTTCGTACATCTCCTTACACCTCGGTAAAAGAGTTTTAGTTATTAAACCAATATTCAAACTTGGAATTTCTTTCTTAGACTCAATTTAAATTGGCTCCCATAGAACAATAAAATACAAGTCAAACATATTACAAACTTATTTTCATTGCCCAAATTTGTTTAACATAATGTGCAAAGTATTCTTCAATATCGTCGGTGTATATTGTCCGATCTCAATGAAATGCTCATGGCTTAAAGATAGCAAACCAGAGTATGTATTTGCTAAATCGCATTTAAAAAATAGTTTTTCTTTTCAATTTTCAAGTCAAATATTTTTCATCTGTATATTTGAATTAACTATATACAAAATTCGGTATACTCAGCTTTTATCGAATATTATTTTCACAAAAAGGGACAGACGGACTCGGAACTCAACTCGTCGTTCTGACCAAGAATATATGAACCTTATGGGTTCGAAAATGCTTCCTTTTGCCTGTGTTACATATGTGTGTAACAAATATTATACTCCTACCATTTTCGATTGGTTCTGGGTTAAAGAAAGAAATTTAAAAACTAGTTTTATTGATTAGAAAATAAAAGCATTTAAGTGCGGAATACTTGAATACGGAATACTTTTTCAATGAATAAAGTGAAAAAACGATACAAAGTCACAAAGTAAAACAAGTAAGAGGTTCTAGTCGGGAGCTGCCGACTAGGGGATACCCTAATCCCTCTTCTTCCAACATCAAATGCATATATATATTCTATTTTAGAAGCTATATGTCAAGTTTGGTGACTCTAGCTCTTATTATTTACCAAAATTGCCCAAAAAACAGGATATCGATTTTTATCGATTGCTTGGAAACGGAGTAAGTTATCGATAATCGGAAAGAAACTCGATCTGCGCAGGCACTAGGAGGAGTCTCTAGCTCTTATAGGTCTCTAGCTCTTATAGGTTCTGAGACTGCGTTCATACATACGGACGGACGGACAGACGGATAGACGGACGGATAGATGGACACGGCTAGATCGACTCTACTGTTTAGGCTGATCAAGAATATATATACTTTTTTGGGGTCGGAGATGCTTCCTTCTGCCTGTTACCTACATTTGGATTTTGCACAAATACAATATACCCTTATACCCATTTTTAATGGGTTCAGGGTATAAATATTTGGATAAATTTAGGAATTTTAATATTGGTTGCTGATGTTTTTCATTCGGATTACTTTTCAAGCAAAACTTTATCAAAGTCATATTTTTAAAATCAAGACGAATATTTAATAAATATACATATACCATCATCACTTTGATGTATTAAGACAGTTTTATATAGATTCCCAATTCCCAGGCGTGACAACATCTAAAGAGTTTAGTTTTCTGCTTACCGCTGATATGGTCAATAGAAATCTCTTGCGAATTGTTAACTAGCGACGCTTTTTAACACCCTAGAATTAATATAGCCTTAAAAGTTCTTCATAGACTCCGAACTCACCTTTCTCAGACGCCGTCGCTCTCGCATGGTGGCTGCCTTGCGGCGATCAACGGTAACATTCTTCTTTTTGCACGCCTTGCAGGCCCAGGTGAGGCAGGGCCGCGAGGACTGGGCGGAGGCGCAAACGAGCGGAGCAAGCACATGCTCCTCGGAGCTCAGGCTGCTGTCCTCGTCATCGTAGTCCGTGGTGTATATGGGCGAGGATGTCATCGATAGCTGTTTGCCGGGATCTGACGTCTGGTGGTTTCTGTTGTTGAAACTGCAAGCGGCGCTGCTGGCATCGCCGACGGCATTGAAGCGGCTGAAGAAATGCTGCAGCGTCTGGTGAGGATTCTGATGGGCATTCGGATGTGGCATGCTGTTGTTGCCGTACCGATAGCCACTCGGATGCGCCTGCTGTGGATAGCTGCTGTATTCCTGCTTGATGGTATTGTCAATGGCCGCGCCAGAGCCCGTCAGCATGGCGTTTGTATTGTTGTACTTGGTCATGACTGGAAGTAACTAGTTGACCCCTTTCAATGATCACTTGACAAGCACTTCACTTCACTTCACCAGGCTCCACAGTTGCTTTCGATCGAACGGACACGGGAGCAAGACAATGAGAACGGGAACGAGATCGAGAACGAGAACGAGAACGAGACGAACCGTCGCCCGCAAGAAACGCAACACATTTGGCTGACAATATTCGAAATCTTGCCCAGATTCACATGTGCTCTGTGCTCTGTTTAGCTCTGCTCGGATCTCAGTTCTTGCTGCGTTTTGAGTGGCTGCTCGGCGCTGCTCTCGAGTGGCATCTATTTATAACGCGGCACGCCATTAGACGCTGGCCGCACTCGTCTTCTAAACAGAAGGACGCGCATGTTGTGTGTGTGCTGCAGGCCACGCCCCCGACTAACTTGCTGCTCAGGCTCAACGTTGTTCTGCTCAATGAAAATGTTGAATGTTGTTTGCGAAAGGCTTAGCACATTAGAAGATCTCGTTTATTTATTGCCAGCGCACTGATCGGTAGTCAAATAAATTTGAATCTACCTGTCCAGCGGTTAGCGTTTGGAGACGGCAAGCAATTCGTTAATGTGACACTTTTAATGCTGTCAGAGAAAACCCCTCTACCTCCCCCTCCTCCCCCTGCAAAGCGGCGCACACCTTGCCGTTGAGTTTTCCCAATATCATTTTCATTGTTATATTTTCTCGTTATCCGTCGTTTTGTTGGCTTCGCGTCAAATTGACCAGAAAGCAAGAGAAAAAAAAAACGGAAAAGCGGAAAAACTAAAAATTGCCTTTGCCTCCCCACATATAATTTGTTTATTTATTGCCGCCCAAAGAAAATATATATCTTTGGAAATCACCTCTAAATCTTCTTGAATGATATTGTAAATCTTTTGTCTAACGGCTCGTGGTTTTTTTTGTGCATTCCGTTTTATTTTCCATTTTCACTTTGTTTTGATTCTCGTTTGTCGCAGCTTTACTTTTGTGTTTCCTACTCGCTTTTCCGCTGTCACTTGAGTTTTGAGTTGATAAATGTTTTGTTTTGATTTGCTTTGATTTTATTTGGAACACACCAAGGTGTTGGCTTTTCACCAGAGTTGTTTATGACAAGCACAAGATAATCCCAATAGAAAATCGACTCTTCTTAATTGTTTTGTAACAAGCTTATAATAGTCCTTAGATAATACCAAATGTAAACTTGGGATAGTCTATTTATATAGATCCTAAGTCTGTAAGTACCAAGCAGCCATAAACTTGACTAAATTGAGTTTCAAAATGATTTTCAAGTTTAATTTGAGTTTTTAATTTAATGTTTAGTGTTATTTTTCATTGCATAACGCTCTTGTCATATTACAAAATTATAATTTCTATGGGATTAAAATGATCTTAAGCAAAATTAAATTAATTTGAAAATTTTGTTTGAAATATGTTTTTTGTAATTTTTTTTTGCTTTCGCCATATTGCTGTCTCACTCCCTCTTCCGTCCACCCACTCCCCGTTGCTCTCTTACACTATATAACTCGCTCTAGCACTCATTGTTTTTTGATCTTTCATTCACTCTCACTCTTTCTCTCTCTCTCTCTCTCTCTCTCTCTCTCTCTTTCTCTCTCTCTGTCTCTCTTTCACTCCTTTTTATATTTGATTTCACTCCAAACGTTCTTATCTTCATGCTCTTCTTAACACCCATTCATTTTTGTACTCTGATAAGACTTACACATTTCGCTGCTAATCTTGTGTACAGGGTACCGCGTTAGTCGAGCACTCTCAACTCCAGCTCTTGCTGATTGTGCCTGTAATTGTTTTCAGTTGGACATTAAAGAACTACGCCAGTGCTGCCCATTAAGCACTTAGCGTCATTAAAAAGACTAGCGCCATCTGTTGTTCAGGATTCTTATGGTTTAAGTATTTGCTAGGTTTTAAGCATTATATAAACTGTTGCATACTTTTGCGATGCAATAGCCAATTTAAGCTAATAGAAAATGTGTGCATGCATTAGATATTTTCTATAAATAATAATGAATTTAACGTATGCATATAAATATTCGCATTTCCTTAATGATGCAAGCCTCAGAAGAATTTCCAAATAATCAAGTGTAAATTCAATTAATCAAGTAAATTGTGCAAGCATTCAACTCGATTGTTATCAAACTTTTGTTGTTTGTCTGCAATGACAGAATTTTTTAGTTACTGATGAAACTTTCTGCACAGTTATCAACACTTTTTATCTCACCTTTGGGCGAGGTCACATTCAAAATAATCATAAATTAATTAATTTGAAATTAGAGCAATTTGATTAACATGCCGCTTGTTGACAATCAAATACGTCACCTTGCAGTCACGTGTTGGCCTTACGAACACCAATTTCAATGTTTTGTTTATGTTCCCGTTGCCATGGTCGTGGTCATGGGCAGTGCTTTCTGCTTTCCATTCATAAAAATGTGCAACATGCGGCAAGAGCGCGACACAATTACGTCAGCCAAACAAATGTGTAGGCGACAGAGATGCTACCGAGTGTGCAAGTGAGAGCAGGTGAGGCGCATGTGCTGAAAAAGAGAGAGCGAGCGAGAGAGCGAGAGAGCAAGCAAGTATGCAGAATAGAACGTGTGGAAGGGAAGCTTTCTTATCACAGCTTGCCTCAAATCACGGGCATTGCCTTTGCCCGAACGGCAACAGCTGTGCATGTGCCACAAGACGGGGCAATCAAAAAAGAAACTAAATTAAACTTAAGACATGTAAATGCGCAATTGAACATGCATGTCTGTATACATGTGTGTGTGTACACACATGTACACACTGTGCTTAATGTAAAAGTAAAGAAAACAATTTTACACTTTTTTTGTGCACTCAGCTAAATATTTACGATGCTACAAGCAAAATGCTGAATGGTTGCCTGGCGAGGAGAAACGGAGCGATGCGAAGTATTGCGTGGCAATATTTGAGCGCGGAAAGGCAGCGCCAAGCACGCAGTTACATTGAAGCCGTCGCACGAGACGGTCAGGCGCGCAGCTCGTCGAGAGTGATTCGGATTGTGTTTCGCACTCGCATTCGCATTCATACATGCACACATATACATACACACACACGCGCGCGCATGCTGTGACATGTAAACAAAACAAAAAGAACATAGAAGATGCTGATAAAAAGGACGTCAAAAGCTAAGAGTGCAGTGCAAAAGTTGAACGGAAGTTGATAGGCACAAGCGGATAAGCGGCAACAACAAAAGCAATAATAACTGTTTACCGTTAAGCATTAGCTGTGAAAGCTGCAACAAATACGCAGGTAAAAAGCTGCAGGCGCAGCATCAGTTGTGATATTGAAACCAATGCGAATGTATGTATGTACATGTGTCAGCATGTCAAATGTTTATAGGCCGTTTGACTGACAGCTCGCGGCTCTCTAAACACATGTACACACTCATACACTCATACACGCACACACGGACACACTCACATGCGCCGACAAAAGCTTCAGTGTCAACACATGCTGTCAACAACGCGTGCATACAGCTGTACTTTCTGACGTGTGTGTTTATGTATGTGTGCATGTTGACATTGTTTTTGTCTTACAACTCTCATTACTCTGGCCGTAATTTGCGCGCGCTCTTATCAATGTGGCGGCATATGTATGCGTTGTTGTTTTGTCTCCTCTTTACGCTCGCACACCTGTTATCGGCATTCGTTTCTCTCTCACACAGTAGCTAATTTGCTGCAATGATCGCCTTAATTCTCTCTCTCTCTCTCTCTCTCTCTCTCTCTCTCTCTCTCTCTCTCTCTCTCTCTCTCTCTCTCTCTCTCTCTCTCTCTCTCTCTCTCTCTCTCTTGCCCTTTGGCTCTCTTTGTCAACACTTACAGTTGTTGTCGGTGCATCAAAACAAACTGAAATCTAATAATACAATTTATGGGCCAAGCAATCAGAAGCAGCCATGCGCTCGGGGGATGCACTTCCCATCAGTTGGGTCATGAGGGGAGGGAGGGTTTATAGATAGGCATTATAATATATAAGGCGAATGAACGTATGTATTTATTTCGCTTCGCTTAAAAGCCTCAGCATAACTATCTAAGAGTGTTGCATTTCAAGGTCACCAGCTGATCGAGGCGAATACTATTTACCGAGAACTACTTATCAGCCAGGTATTTCCAGCCTGACTTTTAGACACGAGCCGATGTTAATATATAATATACATATATACAAATGTATGTATGCATTTGCGAATGTACACAAATACGTTTACTTTCATCAGCTATGCACACAAAGAGATTCGTCTGAGTTTGTCAACACTTTTGTTTTTATCCCATTAACATAGTTAAGTATACGACATAAAAGTTATAGGGTTTTCAAGGTGTAACTGCTTAAGTAATTACAGCAAAAACAAAGCTATAAAAAACCGAAATTATTGATGCTTTAATACCGATGCATTTTATTGCTCAAATTTTATTATATTTAAAACCGCATTAATTCTAGTTTATTAAGCTATTAAAATTCATTAATATTTATATATATATATATATATATATATACAGGCACATATTTGCAGCATTATACGATAAGGAAAATATATGCATACCCATTAAACCAGAAATTCTAGCTTGGCTATTTTCAAACATTTTTGTGAACAAAATATTCATTTCTCTTTCGGGGCAAATTTAGCTAATTAAACAGGTTTGGCATTCAAAATAGATTGTATTTGTGTTTGAAGTAAAGCATATAAAATAATAAGTGCATGACCCAGTATCCTGTTCTATTAAAGCGTTTGAATAGCTCTCGTTTATATATTTAGCAATTTTTATGCATTTTTATACCAATCATTAAACAAATGCCACAGCTTTTCGTAATGAATACTGAGTTGAAGGAAATTAGGCCAATTGTGCTAATTGGAAGAATAGCTAGAGAAACCCCTCAAACATTAAGATAGTTATTGTTTACACTTTGAGTTATTGGGAGTCGAAATGTCTGCACTCAATTCACTTGAGCCTAATCACTTTATCAAACATTAAATATTTTGTTATTGTTTTTTTTCCCCCTCTTATCGAGGGTATATAAATAAACAATAAAAAAAAACTCTTTTGGCAAATTGTCTGTCTGCGAGGAGTTGTGCAAGTACCCCACAGAAGCACATGAAAGCGTACGGCTTATCAGGGCCACGTCGCGTCATATAATTGAAT